GTAAGCAGAATCCATTCATCAATATATCATACGACCCTTGATTTTCAAGGCGCCGGAGCACCATCCTTGTTGTTCGTTCACTCACCCCATATATCACACGACCGTCGCTCCCTGAGCAGCGTGCCGGAGCACCGCCCAAAATCCACCACCAACACCATCACTCGACGGCCTTGTAGTTCAGGTCGTGAACCTAACAGCCGAGACCAGTTCCTCTCTCGGCTACAATCGTTTGACTAGGAAGACAGATCAAACAGGCGCACCATTCATCCATCCAAAACTCATCGAAACATCAACGCACGGTAAACCGTGCTGGCACGCCCGCGCACAACCGCACCGCACCCAAAAGCAGGAAACCCCGTGTTAACGCACATCCCCTCGGCCCGGAACTCCAGGCCGTGAGATTTGCGCGGCAGACACCTGGCCTCGGTGCTGGAGTCGTCGAAGTACATGGTCCAATAATTCTTTTCCATGCGGGCCATACCGATCTCGACCTCCAACTCCTCTTCTTGTCCTTGGGCCGGGTAATGAGCTAGGAAATCGGCCAGTGCCTGACCCTTGACCGATTTCTGAGCTACGTATTGAAAGGTAAATTCGGACAATGCCATCGTCCACTTCCCAATTCGGCCGCGTATGATCGGCCGAGTAAGCATATATTTGATGAGATCAGTCCTGGAGATGATTTGAACGACCGAAGGAAGCATGTAATGCCGCAACTCGGTGGCCGCGAAATAAAGCGCTAGGCATAATTTCTCGATCGGTGAATAGTTTAATTCGGCTGTGTTGAGGGTGCGGCTTAGATAGTGCACCGCTTGTTCGCGCCCAGACTCGTTGTTCTGAGCCAGCAGACAGCCGATAGAGCCCTCTGAAGCCAAAATGTAAAGCCTCAATGGTTTCCCTCTTTTTGGCGGCATAAGGACCGGCGGTTGGGATAAATATTTCTTGATGTCGTCGAGGGCCACCTGATGCTCTGTCCCCCATACGAACCGTTCCGTGTCTTTCAGTTTGAGCAAGGGAGACAACGGCCGTATTTTCCCTGCCAGATTGGATATGAAACGCCGTAAAAAGTTCACCTTACCGAGGAAGGACTGGAGCTCCTTCTTAGTCCTCGGCGGAGGGGCCGCCATAATGGCCGTAGCCTTATTTTTATCTACCTCGATCCCTCGTTGGTGAACCAAGAAACCGAGGAAATTCCCGGCGGTAACACCAAAAGCACATTTCTTCGGGTTCATTTTTAGGCCGTGCGCTCGCATTCGGTCAAAAGCCTGCCGAAGATGTCCTACGTGGTCGGCTCTGGACGGGGACTTTACAACCACATCGTCGATGTAGACTTCAACGGT